GCACAGTGCACAGCGCTTATTCACTGGCAACAGGGTGACTCACGGTCACAGGAGCAGTGTGTGCCTGGCCATAGGAGAAGTAGAGGCAAAAGGAAAAGCGAACTGCAACAGAAATTGTTTGAAAATTCAATTCACACATTTGCCCGCTGTCGATGCCGAGATTTCGAATCTGCCACGATGCAAACCCTTCGACTGCCTATGTAGCAATGGCAATGGCAATTGCTGCTGCTGATGCTGAGTTGAGGTCTCTCGCTTTCAAAACAAGTGGAAAATCGCAACGAATTGTTACAATGTTGCGCCAGACTGAAGACTAAGAAGATGCCTGGAGTGCCAGAGTGGGACGAACGGGGAGAGCAGGCGAAGGGTACGGACAGCATTTTTGGGCTGTCAATGTGTTTGGCGCCCTCCCTGTATCGGTTGCAGGCCAAAGCGCTGCCTGGGGCCTGGGTGCTAATATGCTCACCAAGTGAACGGGGGTATATTAGTTTTGGTAGCACAAGATTTCAGAATGAGATATGATATATCATCATATGAAATTTTAGAGATAAGATTTAGAGATATTTATACAGTCGAGTCTTTATTATTTGTCTAAATCGATAATCGCGATAAAACAAAAGAAGTTATATAGCCTTGAAACTTCCTTCAACCAAAAATTTTTTTGGTTGAAGGCTGGTCATTTCGAATCATCGGGACTCGATAGAGAGACAGAGAGAGAGAGAGAGAGATCTCGAATATGTTTTGGGCTTAGAAGCCGTAAACTTTTAACTTCAGTTCAGCTATTCTTATATATAGGGAGCGAGAGAGAGAGAGAGAGAGAGAGAGAGAGAGAGAGAGATCTCGAATATGTTAAAAGATAATCATATATGTATATAGAGAAAGATCTCATTAGGCTTACAGCTCCAAACTTTAAACTTAGCCTAGTCCTAACATATATTTAATTCTATGTATCAAGCTTACCTGGGCGAGTATTAGGCAGTCGTTGACAGCTGCTCGCACTTGCATTTGCTTGTGTCTATTTTGTATGCAAAGAGTTCCTCAAAATTTAATTTATTTAGACTTCTCGTGTTGCTGCTGCTCTTGTTGTTGTTGTTGTTGTAGTCCAGTTTATTGTCTGCAAATGAAATGCGTCTGTGGCCCGGCCTTGGCTTTGCTTTTTAAACGAATTACCATTTGTCGGCTTTGATGTTGTTGCTTGGTTTCTTCTGCATTTGCTGCCCACTTTTCCAGAGCTCTTTCTTCCAACTTTTTTTCTGTTACTCTGCTTTAGCTTCTGTTCTTTTTTTTGGAGGGGGAGGGGGTGGGGGGAGGTCCTTACTTCTGCTTTGACGCAAACTTTGCAGACCATAAAGTTCTGACTTCATGCAGTTTTAATGACTTAACGAGCTCTACGCTGCCCAAGTTCCTTTGACAACTGCCAACTGCTGGCAATGGCAGCTAATTAGGCAAACGTGTTCCGATTACCACACCCACACACACGTACACGTACACGTACACACACAACTTACACTTTTCCTTTCACAGAGAACTTTTCACTCTTTACTCAGATCGAATCCCACTTTGATTCTGGCATTAAAAACATTTGCTAGAAGTTCAATGTAAATATTGTTGGGTCTCAGCAGGGGAATTATCCAATGATCTAACATTATGAAAATTATAACTATTAGACTATTTAACAATAATTATGTCAATTACAAAATCAGAAGCTGAGCTCTTTATCAAAATATTCCAAATTATATTATTTTTATAAATTTTTAGTATTTTTAAATAGAAATAAAAACTTTTCTTTTCATCAATTCGCTTGTTTTTCACGTTTTCTTGTTTATTTTGTTTTTTTTTTTTTATTATTATTATTATTATACGTAGCTTTAATTTAGACAAATAAATTAAGAATTATGACGATATAACAGCTATGTATTATTATTATTATTATTGCAGCTCGACGGATGGTGGGGATTGATTTCTTTTATTTATTTTATATATATATATATATATAAAAAAAAAAGTAAAAATATTGCAACGCGAATTATTTTAGAATTTGATGACACATTCAATGCTCAATCGTCAAGATAAAAGAATTTGGTTTTAGTATGACTAACTAGCAGCAGAAGAGCAGGAAACGAGGGCAGACTGGATTGCAGAGTTGAGTGAGTCGTGCTTTGTGCTGTGTGTCGTGGTTAAAGGCGGCATTACTTCTTCTTCTTCTTCATCTTCATCTCTGTAGGTTCTATAACATGTCTCTGAGCACCTCCTTTTTCGAGGCAGTCAATTTCTCCGGAAATTGTATATCGAAGGCCACCAGCAGATCGCCCTTGCGCGTCGGATCTTTTGGGAAGGGCAGGCCATAGCCCTGGATGCGTTTCACAGTGTTCGGCTTGATGATCTCCTGCATGGTGCTAATGCGCAGCTTGTCGCCAGACATTGTAGGAACTTGGAAGACAACGCCGCAAAGCGCCTGCAAAAACAAGAAAAGGAAACACACAAAATATATATCAATAAATATATTATCAATCATGGCTAAGCAACTCAATTTCCTTCGAATTGTTATAGCCAAAACAAGCAGCATAGAAAATCTATCAATCTTTTTTCTGGTAATCCTGTTTATGTTCTTTGCGTGCCCCAGCAGGAGCAGCAGCAACAGCAGCAGCTGAAACCGAAACCGAAACCGAAAAACTTTCTCTCGTCTCTGTATTCTGTTTTGTTTGCTTTGTGTCTTGCATAAATCCTTTTGATGCCTTTTTATTCCATTTTATGTGCCTAATTCGTGTTTAAACATCTTGTTGACATGTTTCTTTACTCCCACTACCTCTCAATCCCTTTATATCTCTGGCAAATCCTTCGTTCTTGTTTGGCCATTGCAGACGATTTCATTGGCCTCAACTGACATTCGATTTGTTTAATTGGCCAGACTAAAAGATAGCCATCAATCATGATTTGGCTGGCTATCTATGTGTTTGTATGTATATATGGGCCACTGAGTTAAGTTATTAATGTCATCCACTTAATTAGTGGGGCAGCAACTTTGTGGCTTTAGCTTCAATACATCTCCTTCATATGAGTTAACAAAGTTTCAGGGCATTTAGCAAAGTTTCTTTCTGTATGTATATAAAGAAAATACTGGATTCCCTAATATTAAGAATTAATAAGAAATTAAGAACTAACATTCGTCTTAATATTAGGCAATTCCGTAAGCTGAATGTTAATTAAATTTTACATTAACATTACAGCAAATTCTGATCAGTACAAAAATATGTTAAGTAAATTTATATTCTGTTATTTGTTGGAGTCATAATACTATAACATATTAAGGTAAATAAATAATAAGCACAAATTGAAAAAAAAATGCAACATTTGAGCAAAAATAAGCTTGTTAAAATTTTATGTAAAAAAATTAAATAATAATAAAAAAGTTTTAAATAAAATATGTGAAAAAATTTTAATAATTTGAAAACATTTTTCAAACGAATTTTTTAGCAGATTTCGTTCCTATATATATTAAAATAAATAAAATAATAAATTTACCTCTATAGCTCTCTTAAATTTTTCTTTTCCTTTTCTCTCTATCTCTCCCTCTCTCTCGCAAAATATATGCAAAGAGGTATACAAACAGAAATATGCTTTATTCATATATTCTATTCAAAAACATATCTTTTTATATAAAATGTAAATATTTCCTTTCCAATAAATCACTTACGCCTTACTTTTAAAAACAACATTTTCGTTTTCGACTGTTAACAGCTAAAATCCGACATTTTTCATGTGTTTATACACTGAACAGAGAAACAGAACAACAGACAGACACATACATACATGTGTATATACATATGTGATTCGATACCCAGTTACCCGCATCGGACAATTGGCCCAGAACATAAAACCATGTGAGCATAGCGCGAAGCGCACAAATAACCGAAAAGAACATAAATAAATTGCGACAAAAGCAAAGTGCACACCTTATGAATATTTAAATACATGTATGTATGTACATATACAACTTATAAACATACGTACATACATACATATAAAGAGAGTAGGCGAGAGGCGGGTGATTTTCAAGCGATGACAACATAAACTGATGACGACGGTTACAACAACAACAACAACAACAATGATGCTGATGACGACGCAGCCAGCATTGATATTTTTTAATGGAAATGTTAAAAATGTTGTCGTAGCGCAGCTCAGAAATAAAGCAAAAACAAAACAGAGCTGAACTAAAGCAAAAGCGCGAAAAAAACTAAAAGCAAAGTATATAAAAATCAACAACTACAATAATCTGTAACAGAAAAACGCTTAAAATACTTTGCTACCTTTTACGGAGGCTGAGCCATAAAAACCTCAACCTGAACCAAAAAAGCGAGCACAAGGAATACAAATTGCGAATCGCGTTTCATTTACAACTGGATCAGCTGTTGTGCGAGAGCGCTACACATACATACATATACATGTGTACAAACATACATATATACGCACATTGTGGATAAGGGCACAAATCTGTAGCCAAATATGGCAACTGGTTCTGATCGCTCAGAAATAAATAATCATCAAAAACTGTACAGAACTTTAACAAGGTAAAATTATGAGGAAAAAACTTCCTGCTCAGTTAGCGAAATAAATAAAGTAAAATAAATACTTTTGTGAATTTAAAAATATTGATA